AGGGTCAGGGGGAGAAGCAGGCTCCCCGCTGAGCCGGGAGCCCGATGTGGGACTCGATCCCAGGACTCGGGGATCATGACCTGAGCCGAAGGCAGAAGCTTAACCAACTGAGCCACGCGGGCATCCCTACATTTATTGGTTTAATACCTTTAACATTAAGTTAAAAGAATGAGAGATACTATTGCAGTTGTTCAGAAGAGAAATGAGGATCACTCTGTTTTTATTTTTTTTAAGATTTAATTTATTTATTTGTCAGAGAGAAGGAGAGGGCGCACAAGCAGGGGGAGGGGCAGGCAGAGGGAGAAGCAGACTCCCCACTGAGCAGGGAGCCTGACGTGGTGCTCGATCCCAGGACCCTGGGATCATGACCTGAGGTGAAGGCAGATGCTTAACGACTGAGCCACTCAGGCATCCCAAGATTTTATTTATTTACTTGAGAGAGAGAGAGAGAGAGAGAGAGAGAATGTGAGAGAACAAGCAGGGGGAGTGGGAGTGAGAGAAGCAGGTTCCCCACTGAGCAGGGAGTCCGACTTGGGACTCGATCCCAGGACCCTGCAACCATGACCCGAGCTGAAGGCAGACGCTTAACTGACAGAGCCACCCAGGCGCCCCCACAGAGGCGCAGATTTTTACATAAAGTTTCCAGCAGTGTTTTTGTCTTTAAGCCTTCCCTGCACCTTGGCTGGCAAGTGTATGGTGCCAAGTTTGGACACTTTCCAGAGTTCTGTGGCACAAATCGGCTTCTTCATATTGCTTTTCCATCACTGCTGGCATATACTTTGGCCTTGCTTAGTTTACATGGGCACCCACTGTTCCATCAACTTTAGAGCTTCTAAAATAGCTGTCATTTCTCGTGTTTCATCTCCTGTCCTTTTCTCTTTGCCTTATGGGTTTATGTTTGTTTTTTTCTGCCATTTTAGTTGGATTTCAGGAGGAATGGTAATAAACACATGGGTTCAATTTGCCACATTTAACTGAAAGTCCTCTTCATTGTTGATGTTTGTGTGTGTGCCTGGTCTCCCCAACTAGATAGTGAGCTCCAAGGAAACCACTGTTGAAGTGTTATTTACACATCGTTGTACAGTACCTTCCAAACAGGTGTTCTACTCATGTTTATGGTTGATATTACAAATTACCTTGAAGAGCAAGCACAAATACCCTTGAAGGTACGTGGAAGACTTTTTAAGAACACTGGCAATTTCTAGGTCTTCAACTTCCACCTGTACCCCCTCCAAAAATTCATCTAAGAACGTCTGCGGCCCGGGTACCATATTGGCTTTGTTTTCTCTTTTCCTCTTACATCATGCATTTGTCCCTCTTTATTACACGCATGTGCACGCACGTGCACACGTACACACACACACACACACCCCACATCTAAATCTTTTTATGGCACAATTTGCCCAGGGTGTAAAAACTTGCAGGGCAGCATACAAAATTACAATTGGAAATAGTGCTTTGGGCCAACTTCTTTCGATTAAGGCACCATAATCCAAGGTAGGGCAGTATGGTCATATGCATATATGACATTTTCTTTTTTTTTTTTTTTTTAAAGATTTTATTTATTTATTTGACAGAGAGAGGTAGAGGCACAGCGAGAGAGGGAACACAAGCAGGGGGAGTAGGAAAGAGAGAAGCAGGCTTCCCACCGAGCAGGGAGCCCGATGCGGGGCTCGATCCCAGGACCCTGGGATCATGACCGGAGCTGAAGGCAGTCGCTTAACCAACTGAGCCACCCAGGCGCCCCCATATATGACATTTTCTTTCTGTCACCAACTGAGTCTGGTGTCAGAAAATGGCTATTTGGCCCATTCTGAATTTAGATATATTATAGTGGGGGAAAGGAGGCCATAATAACAATTTTTAAAAGATTTTAAGCCCTGGGGGGCTCAGTCAGTTAAGCGGCCAACTCTTGATTTTGACTCAGGTTGTATTCTCAGGGTCTTAAGATCAAGCCCTGTGTTGGGCTCTGTGCTCAGCAGGGAGTCTGCTTGAGATTCTCTCTCCCTATCCCTCTGCACTCCCCACCCTGCTTGTGTGCTCTCTCTCAAATTAAAAAAAAAAATTATTTATTTTATTTATTTATTTAGAACCTGAGTGTGGGGGAGGAGCAGAGGGAGAGGGAGAGAGACCTCAGGCATACTCCATGCTGAGCCTGGAGCTTGACGTGGGGCTTGTTCCCATAACCCTGAGATCACGACCTGAGCTGAAATCAAGAGTAGGACGCTCAACTGACTGAGCCACCCAGGTGCCCCGATGACAATTTTTAATTAAAGACTTTGCCTCATCCATCTGTTGTCAGAGAAAGCATTGCTTCTGAGGAAGTCCTGTAAAAGTAAAGGTAGATGAGAAAGGTTGAAGGTGACAACTCCTTCTTTCCTCCAGCTAATGGCAAGGCTCCATGCCTTGTCTAACTACATTAGGACACTGTTATTCAAATGCATAAAACATAGTAAGACACCCAGATCTTGGATTCTGAACACCATTCTTCAGTTAAAAACCAGGAAGGGCCCCTTGGAGATGTGGTTGGTTCCAAAGATGGGTCAGGGAGACCTGAACGTGGAACATGAAGTCTGGCACATCTTGTGGTTCCAGAAAGTAAGGAAATACTAAAAAAACAAACACAAAAAACTGATGAGGATTTGTTTAAAGAATAAAGGAGTCATCCTGAAGGAGCTCTCCTCATAGCCAAAGGTGGAACAACTTGAGCAACAACAGAAACTGTGGTGCGGTGCCTGGGTCGCTCAGTCGTTAAGCGTCTGCCTTCGGCTCATGTCATGATCCCAGGGTCCTGGGATCGAGCCCCACATCGGACTCCCTGCTCAGCCGGGGAGCCTGCTTCTCCCTCTCCCTCTGCCCCTCCCCCTGCTGTGCTCTCTCTGTCAAATAAATAAAATAAAATAATATTTATTTAAAAAACAGAAAATCACCACTTGCAAAACATCACAGTAATAATTGTAGACGAGACCCACTAAAACTAGAGGGTGAGTATGCAGCAACTATTTGCATAGTCTCAAAGCCTCTCCCCCAAAGTACCTATTAAGTAAAAAGGGAACTTTAAAAGTGACAGAAACCATCTTAAGCAAATAATCAAGGTCAACATAACCAATAATAAGACACACTGACATTAGGAATCCTGTGATAGCGTGGAGGACGCAGCTTCATTGTTGTCATATTCTTCCAGAAAATATGACCTCAGTTCAATCACAAGGAAACACCAAATAAACCCTAATTGAGGGACATCAAACAAAACAACTGATTAACATTCTTTCAAAGTGATACGGGCATGAGAGACAAGGAAAGACTAAGGAACTGCTATTGACAGTAGCAGACTTACAAGTAACTGTGTTTTCTGGGTAATATTCTGGAACAGAAAAAGGACATTAATGGGAAAGCTGGTGAACTATGGTTATGGAAGATGCTAACATAAGGAGAAGCTGGTTGAGGTATATATGGAAACAGTAACATTTTTGCAATTTTTCTGTAAACCTACAATCAGTTCAAAATAAAAAGTTAAAAGAATAAGTAAAACTATGAAGTATACCTTCTTTGTACTTTTTTTCCATTACCAGGGCTAAACGTGTGGCCTATAACCATATTTTAATTGCAGGATAAAGTACTAATGAAATGTTTTGGAATAAAAACCTATGATCTAATGACTTTTCTTGATAAGCTTGTGGTTGAGAAATAAGACATTTAATACATTTGCCGGGGACTCAACTTCCACATTTCTGCTTTTTGGCAAGACAGGGAAAAACTCTGTGCAAGTTAGACTCTACTTTGCCATTGATTCTGTTATGACTGAACTGTGTGACTAGAAAAGAATAGAATTCCTACCTCCTGCACTTCTCCGGGGACACCTTGTAAGAGAACAGTAAAAATAATTAGAATTTGCTTAAATGTCCTTACCCTCAAAAGGAGTAAGAGCTCGTATTAAAACAGCAAAGAGATAATAGATGCTTAAGCTTGTGAGCACAAATGATGAGTTTTATTTAATTGCAAGTGTTGCAACCTATGTACACGTTTCTCTTCCAGGTTTTTTAACTGCTAAAAAAACCCTTACGGAGATGACCAACGTTGTAAAATATGTCCTAAATATTTATTAAATCTACCTGTCAATTGATATGTTCTGTATGGAGCCTCTGAAATGATGTTTTGAGAGTTTATTTACAATCACTGAAAGCGGATGGTTCTATAAAACATACAAGGAATTACAGGCTCCTCAAACTTACAATATTTATTACGTATATTTCAACAGTTAAATAGAAGCCCATTTTTTCAAAAGCAATTTTCTACTACTTTCTCATAAAAATATAAAAAAAGACAACATTCATAGTTTTAAAAACCCATTACTTAGCCCAAATCAAGATTTTTCTACAAATGATACCTCTTTCCAAAAAGCTTAAAAGACATCACAGAATGATGTCATGCGAAACTAAAGAATTTCACTACAGCAGAGAATTTTACTTTTAAGAAACATTGTGCAGTATTTCTCTTTAATCTTTCATGCTACATTTCAACCGTGTATATGCTATGTAAACACGCCAGATTAATCCAAGTCATTTATATTTACGCAGTAGAGTGTCATATATGACCAGCTGCCATATAAACCATCATACCACAATTGCAAAAATGATAAAAGGCAATCTTTATGAAAGCTTAGAAAAGCTTAATAAAAGGCAACCAACATCGCCCTAATTTTCTGTTAAAATTACCTCTCTTCCTTTCTTTTCCTCTCCTACCTTTTATTGTGTAATAACACACAAAGATGTTTATATCACTTTTACCTTAAGTTAGGCTTTTAAATGACTCTTTTCTGATACATAGCATTTATCAAAAGGCACCAAGATTAGACTCCTAAGTAGTTTCAGAATTTTCGTTCCTTTTTAGATTCCTCCAGATTGATTTTCCTCAGAAAAGAGTAACTTTACAGGACACCTGGGTGCCTTATTCAGTTAAGCATTGGACTCTTGATCTCAGCTCAGGTCTTGATCTCAGGGTTGTGAGTTCAAGCCCCGCAGTGGGCTCCACGCCAGGTGTGGAGCCTACTTGAAAAAAAAAAAAAGAGTAACTCTAAGAACCAGAAGAAAATGAACGATATAACACAATAACTTGACATTTGTACCATCCAAAAGGTATAAAGATATTAATAGGTTTCTTGAGCTTTTCATTTAGGACAAGAAGTCAGAATAACTTTCTGGACATAAAGCATAAAAATAGGGCAGAGTTATTAAGAGGAACGCTCCTAATTTTGTAGTAACAATGTATTAAATCTTATATAATAACACACAGCCAAAAGCATTAGAAATTCACTGCCAGATATTCTGATGCATTATCCTGAAAACATGTCTGATACATACATAGCACTAACAAATAACAAAGTATGGCATTTATTTCACAGGGAGAAAAGGTAAGTTTCATCCCCAAAACAGATTTACTGGATTCAGCTTTAAGTTTTAGAGATATATATTAAAGATAAAAAAGAAAAACAAGATTTACCCTTAAAATAAAAAAAGTCTTTCATATATATACACACACACATATATTTTTTATATAATCCATTATTAATACTCTTTATGCTCTTATGATGTAAAACACTTAGAAACTTTTGAACTCCAGAAATTTTGACCGATTAATCTATTTGGCCTTAACATACTCTAAATTCCCTTGCGAGAATCACCTTAACGTTTGCAGTCCAGCAGTCCAATAGCGATGGGGCAATTCTATTTCTTTTTCTTCTTCTTTGGTGGCTCGTCCTCAGAGCTGCTCTCCGTGCTGGTGCTGCTGCTGCTGGAAGAACTGGAATCGGAGTCTGAATCAGAGGACGAGGAGGAGCTTGTGGATGAGGATGAAGATGATGAACTGGAGGAGCTTTCGTCGGTGTCACTGTCCTCGGAGGAGGATGAGGTAGACGTGTCTTCACTGTCGGATGAGGAATCACTGGCTGAACTGTCACTGCTGTTGCTACTGGAACTGGTTACACTCTTAGACCTGTTAGACAACGAGTAGTTAGTTCTATGCACGGGAAGCTGACATGGAACAGAATGGTTAAAAGCAACTGCATGGGCGAACTACATGCACACGGTGAAGCTTTGCTTGCGGGGGACTGCGTAACTGGAGAAATCCCCCGGCAACCACAACGTCTTCTACTTTAGCAATTTAACTCTCTTGGATGCAGTTAAGCATTCCTACTCTATTATGCTCCAGAATGAATAATGGTAGAATAAAGTTGCAGGGTAACAACTGGGTTTACTTAAACCTCAGGTAGCATGGTAAATGTTTCATAATCTTTACTTTGAACCGGATAGAGCTGGTCAACAATTTTTTTTTTACCAGTCTAATAATATTTCCTATTCTAATATAATAAGAGAGATTTTTAAGAGAAATTATTTACTATTTCCAGGTATAAAGCCTCTGGAAAGTCGGAGAAAAAGGAGAAATGAAGGTAGTATGTTCCACTCAGGTAATGAGAGGAACATATCAGGAAATAAGGATGATACTTAATCATGAATTACAAACGAGAGACTTCAGATCCAAACTTTATCACTATTGTTTTAAATCACTCTTCCTATCCCTCCCACTAGTATTATTTATTATCCATATAAAACTCTAAAGCCACACATACCTTTTTTTCTTGGTCTTCCTTTCTGTATTAGTTTCTCCAATGCTGATAAACATGAGGGGGAAAAAAGGTCCTGTTAATAGAGTGATTATACACAGCTCAGACCAACCCTTTAGTTAGCCCCCAGAGTGTCTTACATTGGAGAAACACTTTGTCTTTCGTGACATGTACAGAGCCCAGTATTTCTTGTTATAACCTGCCCCTCCCTCCCCCTCTCCCCCACTCCCTCTCTAAAAAAACCTTCTGAATTGAGTCACCATTACCAATATTACTATACAATTGATTAAAACAATATACAGGGGCACCTGGGTAGCTTAGTCGGTTAAGTGTCTGCCTTCGGCTCAGGTCATGATCCCAGCGTCCTGGGATGGAGCCCCACATCGGGCTCGCTGCTCAGCGGGAAGCCTGCTTCTCCCTCTGCCACTCCCCCTGCTTGTGTGCTCTCACCCTCTCCCCACCCTCTCTAACAAATAAATAAAATCTTTAAAGTAAAACAATATAGAAATACAGTACAAATTTTAATAATTATTACACATCAAAGTAAATTTATTGGAAATGCATCTCTTAATGACACTGATTGTTTTTCTAGTTTATGTATCCCTGGATCTTACTGCTAGGTTGTGACAAGGTTCAGCATTAATTCAATTCCTGTATTTAATTTTTATAGATTTAACCTAAGAAGCCTTCCTAACCTAAATAGGTAGATCGGAACAGAGTTTTGTTGTAGCAATGTCACTGTTTGAATACCTCCAATGATGTGGTCCACAAGTCACAAAGGTGTATCATTAAAATATACTTTTATTTATTTTTATTTTTAATTATTATTATTATTATTTTGGGGGGCAGAGGAGGGGCAGAGGGAGAGGAAGAGAGAGAATCTTAAGCAGGCTCTACACTCAGTATGGAGCCCAATGCAGGGTTCAGTATCATGACTCTGAAATCATGACCTGAGCTGAAATCAAGAGCCAGATGCTTAGCTGACTGAGCCACCCATTTGCCCCTAAAAAATACTTTTAAATTGGTAGCCCAATTAGGTCCTTCCTCAATTTTGCTGGGAAAAAAAAAAGTCCAAAAGAATTTGCTTCCAATAATTAGAGCTATCCACTTTCTTAGTACAAATGCCAGTATTTTGAAAAATGTCTAGGCTTCTACACATGAGGAAAGGGGAAGTAGAAAAGGAGAATGAGCAGGCAAGTTCTCATACAAATTTACTTTTTGAAAAATTATATATATGAACATTGATGACTTAGAATTTGATTACCTATCTATTCCTGCCTAACCTTTGACGAGCAGTCATGTCCACTAATTGGGAGACCACTGTCTTGCAAGTTCCCGTGTTTCAGACACTATTATACAGCTAACGTCCTGCTGAAGATGCTGCTTCTGATCTGTAGCATTGAGTACACCTGGCACCTTCCTCTTGCAGTTTCTCAAACATGCTTACTTACCTAATTCATAGCAATTTTAAAAGCTTTATTCAAGGGATGCCTGGGTGGCTCAGTCAGTTAAGCATCGGCTCAGGTCATAATCCCAGGGTCCTGGGATCAAGTCCCACATCTGGGTCCTTGCTCAGCAGGGAGCCTGCTTCTCCCTCCCCCTGCTTGTGTGTTCTCTCTCTCTCTCTCCCTTGGACAAATAAATAAAATCTTAAGGGCGCCTGGGTGGCTCAGATGGTTAAGCGTCTGCTTTCGGCTCAGGTCATGATCCCAGGGCCCTGGGATCAAGTCCCGCATCGGGCTCCCTGCTCAGCAGGGAGCCTGCTTCTCCCTCCCCCTGCTTGTGTGTTCTCTCTCTCTCTCTCCCTTGGACAAATAAATAAAATCTTAAAAAAAAAACTTTATTCAAAAGACACAAAAGAGTAAATAACAAATTTCCAGTTACTCTCCATTATTCCTTTTCTTCTTTTTTATTTTTTAGTTTTTTCTAAAGATTTTATTTATTTATTTGACAGAGACAGACACGGTGAGAGAGGGAACACAAGTGGGGGGAGTAGGAGAGGGAGAAGCAGGCGCCCCTGTTTGCGACATTCTTTTTTTTTTTTTTTTAAGATTTTATTTATTTATTTGACAGAGACAGACACGGTGAGAGAGGGAACACAAGCAGGGGGAGTGGGAGAGGGACAGGCTTCCCGCGGAGCAGGGAGCCCGATGCGGGGCTTGATCCCAGGACCCTGGGATCATGACCTGAGCCGAAGGCAGACGCTTAACGACTGAGCCACCCAGGCGCCCCCTTTTCTTCTTTTTTAACATAAATGATAGCATATTATATATACTGTTCTGTACCTTGTTTATAGTCCAAGTATCTTGGATACTTATCTCGGGTATCTTTCCATATCAGCTCTGAGAAAATAAAGGGAACTGCATCTAAAATGGACTTGGGAAACTCCGAAGGGGGAGCTTCCACACACTGCCACTCATCATCAATTGCAGACCCCTACACAGAGACCAGCACCTTGTTCCTCAATAGGAAGAAGCTTACCTGACTATCCCAGCAGGAGGAAGGAAACTTTTCTTCTTGCCTCACAACAGCAACTGCCCCAGTCGTCCAATGAGCAGCTTGAACCCTCACTCTCCTCCAGTGGACTTTTCTTTAACACAGCCCTTCCCAATTTCCTCTTTCCCTCGATAAAAGCAAGCTCCTGTCCTTTGTTCTCTGGACTTGCCTACGGTTTGCCATAGTTTGCTTGTCCTGGATTGTAAGTCCTCTGCTATTCCCCAATAAACTCATTTTGCTGGTAAAATCACTGGCCATTTTATCTTTACGACTGACAGCTCATATCATCTACCTCGTAGTATTCTGCTGCCATTTCACTGGCAGCTGAGTCAACAAAGCAAAGTGATTAAGAGCATGGACTGGCTGGTTCAACACTTAATCTTTCCACTTACTGGCTGGGTGACACTGACAAGTAACTCAACTTCTCCAGGCTCCAGTTTCTTCACATGTAAAATGGAGAGAATAATACCTACCTTAATGGTACAGAGGTGATGGTTAATTAAGCTAATACTTGTAAAGAGCTTAATACAGTGCCTGGCACATGGGAAGCACTCATTAAACATTAGCTATTATTATAATCGGAATCCGGATAACCACCATGATACCTTTAGTTGCTTAATAAAGTCTATCAATAAAAAATACTCCTTTGGATACCATAGGTCAACATACCTTTGTTGTAATAATAATAATCTGTTTTCTTTTTCTTTTAAAGCTTTCTTTAGTTCTGCTGTTCTTGAAGGCCTATGTAGGTATTTCCTTTTTCCTGTGCATTCATAAGTCCAATGTCCAAATTCCAAGCATTTCTGACATCTTACATGTTGTTTATTTGCTTCACTACAGAGCAAAAAGAAAAAAAAAAAGAATACAGGCCTCAAAATTTTGACTTGACCTTTTCTACCCTGAAAAGCATAAACAATATGAACATTTTTAAGTCAAAAATAAACATAATTTTACACTTTAAATTGTTTACTATGTTAGATTTAGTCACAGGCAATATAGTAAGTAGTCAAGAGCATGGACCTTGGGAGTTAGACCGAACTGAGTTCAAATCTTCACTCCTTAATTCCATTCCAGTAACGGCAGACTAGGTAACTAAGACCAACTCCTCAGCTCAGAAATAGAAAAAACAGTCAAAACGTTTTTAAGAATCTGCTTGAGGCATCAAAGAACTAACAATGGAGTGAAGAACAACCAAGCCAAGATATGGAAGAAAATGGAAATCCAGAGTAGTCAGCTCTGTATTTAAGTCAATTCTTGCCCTGGGAGTGTTTGCCCAACTCAACAGGGTAACCCTCACTTACAACAAGTTAGGGAGACAAAGTATGTATCCAGAGTTAGGTCTCTGAAGAGTTATACCCTAAGAATAAACCAACTGTATATGGAATACAGCCCAGCTTTTAGTCATCTAGGAGACTAAGAAAAATCTCAATCCCTCCATCCCTGAAATTGGATTCAGATGCAGTAAGTAAAGACAAACAGATGAAAGAATTGGAAAGGAAAAAACAAAATGGTCATTCCTCACTGATGACTTATTATGTACATGGCAAATCCAAAATAATCTACAGACAAAAATATTTTGAAATAATTAGAATTCGTAAGTTCAGCAAGATTTTAGATTGGGGAGGGCAAACTCTGTAAATCAGGTAGTAAAAGTTTCAGGCTTTGCTGATCAGGAGGCAAAATTGAGGATATTATGTAGGTACTGACATGACAAGAGAGAAAACACAATTCCACAGATATTTTATTAACAAAAATATTTCACATAAAAGAGATTTAAAGGATGAAATTCTTTTGTAGAAGATAACATTCCACTCATTTGAGGTTAAAGTTCATGTTTCCTATCATCAAATTGATCATATATATACACATGTAATTAACATCCTTAACTGGCAAGCCCACAAGAACAATCAGCAAGTAGGATTCAGTAGGATTCAGTAGATGACTGTTTGCTGAGCTCTGTATTAGATATAAGGTAAACACATAAAAATCAATAGAATTTCTATATAATGAAAACATTTAAAATGAAATTTTAAAAGGTGATATTTTATAATTTCCTGAAAAATATCAAATACCTAGAAAAACATCAAAGAAAATACATACTAGACTTCTATGCACAATATAAACTACTCAGAGAAATTAAACATCTAAGTATGTAGCCACACTGAAAAATATACCATGTTCATAGACTGGAAAACCAATAATGTAAAAATGTCCATTCTCCACAAACTATCTATAGATTCAAAGCAATGCCAATCAAAATCCAAACAAGTTTTTGTTTGTTCTGTTAACAAACTTATTCTAAAATGTATATGGAAATTCAAAAGGCCAAGAATAGCCAAAATGCCCTTGTAAAGGAATGAGTGGGAAAGCCCTGGATTAAAAGACACTGACTTATGGTAAAGCTATAACAATTAAGAATGTGAAATTGGAGCAAAGATACACAAACCAATGAACAGAAAAGAATGTCCAGAAATAGACTAACGTATATATGAACACTTGATTTATGACAACTATGGCACCAGAGAGCAGTGGGGGAAAGGACATATTATTAATGGTGCAGGGACAACTGATTATGCATATGGAAAAAATGAGACTTAAACTCTACTCTTGAGGCACCTGGGTGGCTCGGTTGAGTGTCCGGCTCTTGGTTTCTGCTCAGGTCATGATCTCAGGGTCGAACCCTGCACTGGGCTCCGCACTCAGTGGAGAGTCGGCTTGAGGATTCTCTCTCCTTCTGCCCCTCCCCCTGCTCGTACTGTCTCTCTCTCAAGTAAATAAATAAATCTTAATTAAAAAAAGAAAACCTCTACTCTCCACCATATGCAAACATCGATTACAGACTGCTCAAGTAATAAATGTTTTAGAAGGTGGTATAAAAAAAGTGACATGATGGGGTGCCTGGCTGAACTCAGTCGGAAGAGCATGATCTTGAGGTTCTGAGTTTCAGCCCCATGTTGGGTGTAGACATCACTTAAAAATAAATAAACTTAAAAAAAAAAGTGACAGGGGCCCCTGGCTGGTTCAGTGGGTGGAACATGTGACTCTTGATCTGAGAGTTGTGGGTTTGAGCCTGACACTGGGTGTACAGATTGCTTAAAAATAAAATCTTAAAAAAAAAAAAAAGTGACATATTTGACTTAAGAATTCTTAAACAAAATACTAATAATCATAAAGAAAAAGACTGATAAGTTAAACTATGCTAAAATTAAGAATTTCTTTTTATCAAGGCACCTGGGTAGTTCAGTTGGTTAAGTATCTGGCTCTTGATTTCAGCTCAGACCATGATCTTAGGGTTTTGAGACTGAGCCCCGTGTCAGGCTCTGCACTTGGCATGGAGCCTGCTTAGGATTCTCTCTCTCTCTCAGAAAGAAAGAAAGAAAGAAAGAAAGAAAGAAAGAAAGAAAGAAAGAAAGAAAGAAAGAAAGAAAGAAAGAAAAGAGAAAGAATTGCTGTTCATCAAAATACACTATGAAGAGAGTAAGAAGGGAAGCCAAGAGGTTGGAGAAGATATTACAAATCAGTAAGAAAATGATGGATCATAAAAAAATAAGACAAAATGGAAAATGGAAAGACTGGACTAAAATGGGCCTGGGAAACACAAGTTAACACTAAATATATAAAAAGTTGTTTTTTACTAATCAAAGAAAAGCATATTAAAACCCCTGAAGAGGGGCATTTGGGTGGCTCAGTCAGCTAAGCATCCAACTCTTGGTTTTGGCTCAGATCGTGATCTCAGAGTCGTGAGATCAAGCCCTGAGTCAGTCTGTGAGCTCACTGCGTAGTTTGCTTGAGAATCTCTCTCCCTCTCCCTCTGCCCCTCCCACTCTTGCATGAGTGCTCTCTCTCTCTCTCAAATAAATAAATTTAAAACAAAACAAAACAAAAAACTGAAGGTACTACCTATCACATACCAGAAAGACTGAAATTAAAAACTGGCAATAGCAAATGTTAGCAAGAATACAAAGCAAGAGAACACACATCCATTGTGGGGATGAACTCAAACTGGTACAACCATTTTGAAAAATATTTACTATAGTTGAAGAGATGCACACTCTATGATTCAGCAATTCCACTTGTAGGTATTTATACAATAGAAATCAGTGCAGTGCCATCTGGGTGGCTTAACTGGTTAAGTGTTTGACTCTTGATTTTAGCTCAGGTCATGATCTCAGGGGTGTGAGATAGAGCCTCCTGGGTGAGCTCTGAACTGGGCGAACTGGGCGTGGAGCCTAAGATTAGCTCTCTCCCTCTCCCTCTTCCCCTCCCCAACCGCCCCCCCATCATGTGTGCATTCTCAAAAAAATAAAAAATAAAAAACAGAATCAATGCACAGCTATACCAGATAACATGTGTAAGAATATCGTTCTCCTTTATGTAGCTCTTAAAATTTTTGAAATAATCGTAACCTTATAGAAAATTTTTAAGTACAGTTCAAAGAACTACTTTTCCTGAACCGTTTATAAGTTGCCAACCTGATGACTCATCAACTCACGATATTTTGTTGTATATTTTCTATAAATTAGGATATTTTCGGGGCGCCTGGGTGGCTCAGTCGTTAAGTGTCTGCCTTCGGCTCAGGTCACGATCCTTGGGTCCTGGGATCGAGCCCCGCATTGGGCTCCCTGCTTGGCAGGAGGCCTGCTTCTCTCTCTCTCACTCCCCCTGCTTGTGTTCCCTCTCTCACTGTGTCTCTCTCTGTCAAATAAATAAAATCTTAAAAAAAAAAAAATTAGGATATTTTCCTACATAACAATGTAACCATCAAAATCAAGAAATTAATACAGATATATTCCTACTATTTAATCTTCAGACCCCATTTATTTCATCAAATGTCCCAATAATGTTCTTTTTTTTTTTTTTTAAAGATTTTTTATTTATTTGACAGAGAGAGACACAGCGAGAGAGGGAACACAAGCAGGGGGAGTGGGAGAGGGAGAAGCAGGCTTCCCGCGGAGCAGGGAGCCCGATGCGGGGCTCGATCCCAGGACCCCAGGATCATGACCTGAGCCGAAGGCAGACGCGTAATGACTGAGCCACCCAGGCGCCCCCCAATAATGTTCTTTATAGCAAAATCTAGTTCAGCATTCTGTTGCATTTGTCATGTTTCTTTAGTTTCCTTTTGTCTAATGAGTTCCTTAGTCGTGTGTTGTTTTTTATGACCTTGGCAATTTTGAAGGTTACAGGCCAGTTATTTTGTAGAACATGCTTCAATTTGAGTTGCTTTCAAGCTCACTCAGGGGGCTCTCAGTAGGAAGCCTCAGTTCCCTTTCTCTTGACCTCTCCACAGGGCTGCTCACAACATGGCTTTCCCCAGAGGGAGTGACCAAGACAACTTAAGAAAGAAATCACAATCTTTTATAACCTAATCTTGGAAATAACATACCACCCCTTTTGCTGTATTCTATTGCTCACACAGACCAACGCTAGTATAATGTGGGAGGAGACTACACAAGAGTGTGAATTCCAGGAGGCAAGGATAATTGGGGGTCATCTTGGGGGTCATCAGATACCATATCTGATATCTCTACATGATTAGATACAGGCCATGTATCTTTGGCAGGAATGTAATAGAAATGTGCTGTCCTTCTCACTTTATTCCTACCAGGTGATACAAGACTGCAATTCGTCTTATTACTGCTGATATGCACTTTGATCCCTTGATTAAGGAGGGTCTACCAGAGTTTGCATTGTAAAGTTACTTTTTGTCCTTTTGTAATTGTGGTGGTTTTAAATTAATGTTCATATTAATTCTTTGATACTCTTCTCTTCAAGAGGTGGAGTCCTAATTCCCTTCACCTTGAGTGTGGCTTAGACTTAGTGTCTTGCTTCTTCTA